ATGTTATAAATTCCCTTTCTCTAAGGATAGGGTTTTGTTACTAAGTCAAATTCCTTTACAATTTAAATAGACGATCAAACGCCCTTTCTTTAGATTAGGCAATTGCTCTAGGGCTACTTCTATAGTAATCTATATAATACCTATATAATTCTAAATAAATCTATAAATATAAATCTATATAATTCTAAATTATAAATCTAAATTATAAATCTATATATTTTAATATTTGTATCACTTTATTACGCTAATACAGATAGAAGCATATTATAATGTGGAAAATCTAACACGGCACTGCTGCACATTACACTATGATTAAGAATTATCACTGATTAACGCCAGATATCTTGTCATCATGGATAGCTGCAGCCTAGTTAGATTAATTTTGTTAGGATTATGAGATATCTCCTAGTCTGAAATATGTGATATCAGAAATTGTATTACTACTAGCCTAGGTAACCAAAAGTTTATAGAGTAACTAATGTGTTCGGTATTCACATCATCTAATCTTGCCGATTTATGTATAAGATTTCTAATGATAAAATGAATAATTGTTGCTGTTCATGGTATTTAAGAAAGAATGTCATTCCATTCTGCAACAATATAGTAGATAAATGAGAATGACTGCCTTGTAATTTTGATATATCCTAAATGAAATATCTACTTGCGTTATTAATCTGTAAAGACAATCTTCTAGAGTAGATCTGTCTACCTATAACTGAAATCTATACAAGAGTATACCGATTTATGATACAGTTATGTCATAGAGTGCATAAGAAAGGAGAATATTAGATTTTGCCTTTGAAACAGTAATACAATATGATTGTGTACCATAGTAAAAATAATAAATTGCTATTTGTGGCGATCATACTAATCATTCGTAAACCTATCTACAGAATTTCATAGGATGAATTCTTACACAGTACTGTAATATAAATTTAATCTTTGCTCGTTCTTAATTACATGCCAATTCTACAATATATTCGATTTCTATTGATTACTCCACTGCAATGCTCTTTAATTAATTATCACTTTGATTAAATACGCTCCAAATGGTAGTGTTTCTATTTTGCAAGAGCAAGAAGGAAGCAATTGACAGTAGTAAAGCTATGTGAGAAGGAATCAAATCGATCAAATCTAGAATTTGCCGCTGGCTGAAACGTAACATTTCTTTTCTTCTTCTCAAATAAATTCAATTAATTGATCGTCATAGCAATTGTTGAATCAATTTTTCTGTTTACTTTTTCAACCAAATACAATAAATTAATTAAAGAGAATTAGTTTAGTAAAGTTGGTAATATATTAAGATTAGTTATAACTAGTCTTTGTTTAGCAATGGTTAATGGAAACTGAAATTGATGTATACTACAGTTGCATATGACACAAAGATGAGCTGAAATTATTGATATCGTAAACTTATTGGGAGCCAAACCAAAACTCTAGAGAATCTACTTTGTTTCATATAGCGTGATGATTATAGAATTGTAATCACCCTAGATCTGGCAATAATAGCGTTTGTTCACCTCCGCTAGCCATTTACGGATAGAATTGTCGATAAGAGATTAAATCTACCTTGCCCTGCTCTTTATTATATTATTGGTAGGATTTCTTTTTATTACTTTAAGAAAAGAATTGAATATGCAATATGACAGGCTAAAGAAGTTATACTAAAGAGCTAAAATTTTTCGCATTGTTTTAAAGAACTTTGCCTGAATATATTTATCAAATTTTATAATTATTAATGGATTAAGAATAGTAATATTAGCAAGAGTAGACATACAAATAACCGAAATGATAAATAGGGCTATGCTTTCATTTTTTACTTGTAGTAACGGTTTTTGAGTTATTGCTTGTACAATGTTAAATATACAGAAAGGCCAAATATTAATGATATTGTAAGCTGAAATATTTATGAAAGCTCTGAGATGCTTTTGTTTTTGCGTTAGTTGCGTTTGTCTTCCATTAATATAAATACCTTTTAGGCGTACAAAAATTTGCTGATGAACGATTATTCGCCGATATATAATGAAAATGAACAACGATGGTAAAATAATGACTAGAAATGAGTGTAATATCATCAAAATTGAATCTGTTATAGTTATGATCTTATCATCACAAAATGTTGTCTCATCCTCGTAAACTCCAATAGCCATTGTTCTTGGTAAAGCAACTATAATAGAAAACAGCAATAGGACTATTTCACTCATAAAAAAGATTTGCTTTTTATGACGACGATAAAATAAATTGAGAGGCCTAACGATTGCAATATAACGATCAAAACTAATTAAGCATAAATTGTAAATGGATATGCCAAGAGAAGAGAAGGAAATTTGTTGAATAGCGCGGCAAATCAAGGTTCCGTAACTGTAGCTGATCGAAGTTGATATCGTGAAGCTGAAGGCAAATATAGCTGTTACATTTGTAACGATATCAGATAAAACCCCTATCATCACTAAAGAATAAGTTGTTTTATAGACATGACGATTAGTAGCCAAAATGTATAGTAGGATAAGATTGATTAACAAACCGATAATATTTAGCGCTATGCCTACTATTCCAAAATATACAAGAAATTGACGGAGATTTAGCCTGTCCGTTTCAACAGATATATTGCTATAATTACTACTATTGTTATCCATATATAAGAGGATAGTATAACATCAGTTAACTGCAAATAAAATTTGATTCAGGTAATTCGATACGTATTCCAGAAATTAGTTTAAATCCTTGAAGATATCAAAGATATGAAAATGTTATGGAAATTAACATTAAAACCTAGATATGAATTATAAAATAACCCTAATAGTTGAGATTTTTGTGCTTGTTTATGAGAAATGAAATAGCAAATTCTTGGTGGTAAGGTCATAATATATTAGATTAGAAGAGGAAAACTTCTCCAATTGGATTATAAGACATTTTGCTAGCACTTATCGAAGGTAATTAAGAAGGATGTGTTGATCAATTCAGCTAAGAAATGGCATCGTCAGACGCGGTTAAAGCCAATGTAACCGTATCACCGCTTCGTATTATAAACTATAATCGATTCGGAGACAAGCATAATATAATTTAACGGAAGTACGCAAAGAGATAGGTATATCGCGATTGAGTTTAGATTGCTTTCTATATTGACGTCATTCTTATTGAACAAATAGAAATGCGTTGTTAATAACCGGTGAAAGATTTAATCTATTGATATGTCTGATAGCACAAATTGAACTGCCAAGATTTCCGATAACATAGTTTTACAACTGTATGAGTATATAAAGAATCTATTATCTTGTTCATAAGCAGAATAGCTTGCATCTATGCCGATACAATGGACATATAGAGATTGAAAGTCCAAAGTCATTCGCTGTTGTTGACTGGAAAAAAAATCCTTAAGAAATATAGTACCATCAATGAGTCAATCGTTGGTAATAATTAAAATAGCAGAACAACATTTACTTTCTCTTCAAAATATTAATATATATGAATACTGAATTGAAATTGCGCGTAGCAATCATTATAAGTACTCTCTGAGCCCTTAATATGCTGTCGAACGGATACTGTAAAAACGGTAAAAACCGTACTGTGAAAAAAATTGAGATATTGTATCAGTGTCTTTGAGATAAATTAAATCTTCTTCTAATGAACGAATAAATTAATTTAGATGAACCTAGTTCTGCAATCAACTGCCATTATTTCGAAAACGGTTGGAGTTGCATATAGAACCAACTAATCCTTTTACAATGCATTCGATTAGAGTATCCTCAAGGTTTATGAATTACTTCAGCAACAACTTTGATTTTATCGTCTCACTATTGGTTCCGTAAGCTAACTTCCGAGCACAATACCCAAACGGATACGCCTATTTATAACGAAATTAGTCTTTTAAAGAGTATTCTTATTAATTAAGCGACTGAAATTTAATTCTACATATTCCAAAATTAAGTTGATTTGAGCTCAAAAATGGCCATCAAGAAGCCATTTCACTTTCATTGATCATTCGTGTACTGTACAGTACTATCATACAGTACAGAATACACGATACTGTAAACTGTACACTGTAACATGCCTTAGGAGAACAAGCCTTCTCGTCGGATGGACGGACTTATTGTACCAAATGAGGCCACCAATGTTAAAAAATGACTACTTCGTACTTACGGTAGTAAGTATGGATCTTCCATGTCTGCTTTCTAAATCTTTGGTACGAACTTCAATAATACTTACGATCTTATATAGCTATTTTCAAGCAGAAATTGACTAACAGATAATAAGATTCAGTGTAATATTACTTAATTTAGTAAAAATCAATCAAAAACTGAATCGACCGTCTGGATACTTTAGTACCACCATCATAATCCTAACCAAGTGTTTGCCACCATATTTGAACGTGATGAGGCAGAAAGTGTCTGTCTGTCCAATAGTGATCCATCCGGGTCTCCATCTAGTGCATGAGTACAGTACAGTACAGTAACACTCTGCAGCAAAGTACTGTTGGTACAGTAAAGTAGAGATTGGGTATAAGTGTATAACGCGACAGCGTTACCTTGTAATGTACACTGTGCAGCAACGGCGGATATATTGCAACTGGCGTGAACGCTGTAATGTCCATCTTTTATCACAGTCAATTGGTAATTTGATTATGGAGGAATTTCTGCTAGATTGAATAATATGCACTGATATGGCGTTAAGTTGTTAGGCATTGCTCACGATTTCCCTGTCTAACAATTGATGTTTTAAATTTATGATTCTTATACTCAGATATCTTGAAGTTGTTGCTTTCAGTAAGGGAGATTGAAGATGTCGACAAGTTCGTTGTATCCTTTTTTAAAGCAGACATCCGTAGATATGCATGACATTACTACGTCATTGATTCCAGATTCCTTTACAACATTTAATCCATGGCTAAGTCTGTGGTTTAATCAAAAATTGAATGCTTGTCTGATTCTAAATTTCTTGATCATTTATTCATTGAACACGTATGTTGTCATATTCTTAACACGTATCAATCCTCTAGCCAATTAACTGTCCCGTTTCCTGATAGCAAGACAGCAGCAATTGCTTATAGGACTCTAACTGTCGACAAAGAACCCAAACGTAGCTCAGCAGTCAAAAATCTACAATTAAACGACAATCAATTGCTTGTGTCAGTATTAAAGTAGGATGGTCAACAAATTACTCTCATAGTTTATAAAATACTAAGAATTATTTCGTGCTGTAGACTAATAATGTGTTGGTATAGCGAGTATTGCATGGCTACCTTCAATTCTCTTGATGTTAAGTTACTCCGGATAGGAATCAACAATGAAGCAGTATTAAAAATACCTACTATACTTTAATTAATGTATACTTCAGAGTGACTAAATGTGTTGTAGTATAACCATTGATCGCTATTCGTACATCATTTTTCTTCTCTCACCGACAGGCAATTTAACTCACCTGATCCAAGATCATTAAGAGTTGGAGTCAATTCGTTTTTGGATTTGTTAAAGTTAACCGTCGAAACAATTGAACAATTTGGAGAGTAAAAAGTTGCCAGACTATTCCGATAGGCATCGATCACAACTACAGTAGCAAATATTTGGCCTCTTATTTATCGGACCTTATAACACAAGACCGCTCTAAGCATTCCGATCCCTTGCGATCAGCTCATTACGTGTAAATCGTGAAGATACGACTAAATGATACCGAGTGGATCTTTTGTATGATAAAATTTGGCAATTTTTTGCACTAGCTTTGTAATATATGATCCTGATACATTGTAAAATTACCGTACAATATAAGCATACATTATCATGGACTGTTAAAGTAAGAAAGCAAGACAGGCAAGATACTGTACGCCGATTCTGGTATTGTTGAAATTAATTAATTATAATTGATTATAGAAGAGTTCAATAAAAACACCCATCTGCATTAATATTCAAAGCCTGTTTAATACTACACTGAAAAATCACTGCCGTTTATTGAACGGTCTGCCAACAATCCTTGCGTTTTGTTACTACCGCAACCACGTTATACAGTCGCTCGTTAAATATATAATTATGGCAATTATCGTAATTTTGGACTACTGCTTATATGCAAAGCAACAAACACTCGTATTGACCTACAATTTAACGATATATTAACCGAACAAAATTTATTCTGACGCTTGCAATATGCAGATTTAAAATGGTACATCATACAGTGCTGACATTTAAACTTGAATTGATTTAACTTAACTTATAAATTATAACAGGTAGTTCACAAGTTCTTCGATAAAATATATCTGTTGAAATGGCAATCATACAAGTGGCCTTTTACAAATATTTCTTCATAAATCAACATGGTTAGCGTACTATTACGAGAAAACGCTGCTGTAGTGCCGTGATTGTAGCTAGCTACATATAATACAAATCTATCGAACATTATAACCTTTAAAATTCATGACTTATTCCAATCATCGGCTGTTATCATTTATAGAATACTATATTCACTTAAGCAAGCAACTTAACAAGGAGCTGGCGAGTGTTTTGCTATTAGATAAATGGACACGTTATTAACTACAATAAATTTAAAATACTAATCCTTATACGAGTGTATGTCGTATGATTTAACCACTACACATCAAACAGGCTTCCTTATTTTCGAGAGAGCAAACCATCGCACTTTCTCTATCTTTCTGCAATTTTTCTTTATCTACAGTAAATTGTATAGCACTGGCCGCCGGCTTTGTCCGTAAATAATACATGCCAGTCTTCAGGCCCTAACACAATTACAGCAATGTAACATTCAATCGCATTTTATAAATAGCTTATTTAGCTTTTGTAGAACCCTTTAAATAGAATTGTGCGTCATTCTATATTCATACCTTTTTCCAGGCGTAAAAATGCATGCTGGTTAACTTCGCAAAATTGGGCTCAGCAATATGTACGTTAAATGATTGACTTTGATCAATGTAAGCTCCCCGATCAGCTGCCATATCGATCAAGGTTCTTTGAGAAATTTCCCATACGGTTTTATATAACGCTTTAATATCATCTGGTATGTTGTTTATTTTCTGTGATATAACACAATCTATACATTACTTTCTTGATTTCCGATGAAATACTAATATCATATTCAACTTATGTCTTTCCAATTTAATATTAGTACATAGTACGTACTTGAATAGAGCCGTTATTAGCAATAAGTTCATTTTTCATCATATCATTCCAAACACCCATATCCGTTAAATCTTTCAGCAAATGCTGGTTGACCACCTATTTTCCAAAGCGGTAAAAATTTTGAACAGATTCATAACATAAGATTATGTCCTATAAATGCTATATCTTAGTGTTAAAACTAATATTTTGTACATTGAAACGTCAAGTCCCCTTAAAATATTATAAAATCTTATAATCATTGCAAAGTAGACTATTAGAATAACCTGGAATTCTCCTGACAAAACACGTCTAGAATAAATATTGCTTGTATACGGCTCAATTGATTCGTTATTACCAAGGATTTGAGCAGTAGAAGCCGTTGGCATTGGAGCTAATAGTAAGCTATTTCGTAAGCCATACCTATTGCATCAAATAGGGATGGTTAATAAAAACACTCCATGCACACTACTCCAGTTGACTAGCAAAAGTTTTATGTTGTAGAACATACTTTTTGATGTCTTCTTTTAACGAATTCCAGTTCCATAAATCAGTCGGTTGCTTTTCCCACAAGTCAAATTGTAATTGCTAAAAGATATTTCAAAAATGCCATTGTCAATGTCGTAAGTACACGAGCAAGGCAATATGATAGTATCCGTAATCATTAATTCCGACGAATAGCTACTAACCCCTTGACTTGCTGGAGACCCCTCATAGGTTTCGTATGGACCAACTTCTTTTGCTAGCTCACAGCTAGCCTAAAGTAACATGCGTAAGTTAGATATGTAGAATTAAATTATTGCATAACGTAATCCACCACTACGTTCAGTATTCTACCTGTAGAGCACCATAATAAATACTTTCAAAAATTTTTATATTCAAGTCGCGAGCCTCTGGTCCATCGAACGGGAAACGCATTAGAATAAAAGCATCAGCTAATCCCTATAAGAAATTACATAACCAAAATAAGATAGATGATAATATATAGAAATTAAGATATAATGTAAATACCTGAACTCCAATCCCGATAGGCCTATGTCTTTTGTTAGATTTCTCAGCCTACAAAAAATAGCATTCGTACAATACATTATTTCGCAATTATTCAAAGAACATTTATACGATAAATTCCACTATCAATCAATATATTAAGGCAACGCTATCGATTTACTTAACGTTTACTAATATATTAATTGCTATTCATAATTCGCGTAGCCTACCTCCGGTACAGGATAGAAGTTAATATCTATGATTTTGTTCAGATTGCGTGTAATTACTTTAGTCACTTCCGCCAACTTATGAAAGTCAAAGGTTTTGTCAGGTCTTACGAACCGAGGTAAAGCAATCGAGGCGAGATTACATACAGCAACCTGTAAGATTGTCATATTTTTACGTCAGTTAACGGAATAAAGATGTCAATCCGATCTAATACTCGCTAATAATTCATGTACCTCATCAGGGCTTGTATATTCTATAATTTCCGTACAAAGATTGCTGCTTTTGATTGTGCCTAAATTCTATAGAACGACACATCGATTGCTGTTACATAACTGTTAGGCAGAATTGAATATTAACGAAAATCATGTTGACAATTTGTAACTACCATACGAACCTTTTGATTACTTTTACGATTGCACGCATCTTTATATAACATGTAAGGAGTACCAGTTTCTACTTGGGCTTCCAAGATTGCGAACCAGAGTTTTTGCGCTCGAACTTGTCGAATAAACTTTCCAGCGTCTTCATACCTGTACACGTTAATAAAAAAATAATTCTTGTTATATTATCGTCGTTTATTACAGTATTGCGTAGAATGAATGCACCCAAGCATTAAAACGTACTCTGTATATAACTTTTCAAATTCTTCGCCATAAGTATCATGTAAACCTGGACAATCATTCGGGCACATTAACGACCATACTCCGTTTTCTTCAACTCGTTTCATAAACAAATCCGGCATCCACATTGCATAAAACAAATCTCGCGCCCTCTATACACGATATAATTATAAGGTAGTTTTAGAAACAATGTGCAAAATCATTCGATTGCTAATTAAACAAGCTATAATTTACCTGCTCTTCTTTTCCAGTATTCTTTTTCAAGTCTAGAAAATCAAAAATATCCGGATGCCATGGCTCTAAATAGATTGCAAAAGCTCCAGGGCGCTACAAGATAGCATGCAATTTTAGCTGTTAGTTAATCTAAATCATATTCGAATCCTTAATATGTCGTATGCTAGTTTTTACGATACCTTATTTCCACCCTGATCAACATATCTTGCTGTATTGTTGTATACTCGAAGCATTGGCACTAGTCCATTCGAATGACCATTAGTCTGTGGCAGCATGAAACAAATCGTAAAGACAATGTTAGCGAGGGAATTTTGTTGGATTACGTAAAATAGAAACTAGCTTGGAAAGTAAAAGGACAATACATACCCCTGCAATATAGCTTCCAGATGATCTAATACAATGCACACTTAAGCCAATCCCACCAGCAGATTTAGAAATCAAAGCGCACTGTTTAAGTGTATCATATATACCCTAAAAGTACAATTTCAACCACCCAATTTAGATAATGCTATAGCTAAATGTTGTATGTAGACTACATACAGTACCTCAATACTATCATCCGACATTGTAAGTAGAAAACAGCTAGATAATTGAGGTCTGCAGGTACCAGCATTAAAAAGCGTTGGCGAAGCGTGTGTAAACCAACGTTCGGACATTAAATTATATGTCTGAAAAATCAACTTTTAATGTTAAAATCGTACATCTACTATAAACTACAATACATTCGACAATTGACTGTAATATCTGTGACGATTAGAATTTTAAGGCTACCTCAATTGCACCATCGATGTCTTCCCCGTGGATACCAACAGAAACACGCATTAACATATGCTGGGGTCGCTCAGCCACTAATTGTTAAAGAATTTAATCATGATATTAATATACAGCGATTTCATACTTGAATAGCTCCATATGTAAATGATTTGAATTATTTTAAGTTCACCTTTTTTATCAATTTTCAACAAATACGATCGCTCTAGCGTCTACATAACATAAGTGTGAATTTGATTATTGAAATATTCTCATTTAAGGCTGTGACCGAATAATATGCTTATAGTGATGTTGGTAACAAAATCAGTAATTGCGATGGAGCCGTTGTAGATCGAAAACTGCAGATTAGTTTATCATTTATGACAAAACTTCAATGTGATGAAATATCTTGATTGATTCCTATACATACGAGTATTGTAGTCACATAATTATAAATAGTAGGCTTAACATCAGCATGATTATTGCTTTGGTACATACTAGGACCAGATATCACATTCGGTTTAGAAATGTATGATGACTTAAAATCTAAAATGCTACCGCTTGAGCAGTTCAGAGGAACAGCCATCAATGTAGTTTAGCGAAGTAATAAATTAAAATATCATAATAAAGAAGATATAGTGTAGTATTAACGGCAAGATACACTGTATAGTATACATGCACTGACCTTAAAGCCAAAGAAGTTGTAGTTGTAGTCACGATCGTAAATAATTGCAGAATTTAGGCGCTATAGTAACATGAATGTTCATGTGGTGTAAATATTGCGAAAAATAGAAATGACTGCATACTTTGTAAATAATTACCTCACAATGCTTAGTTATGATTTCGTGAGTTTCTTTAGAAATCATTGGTGAATGCTTGCCATTCTTGGGGTTAACATAATTGTATAATTCATCCATGACAACTAAAATAAGGTAAAATATTATATCAGTCATGTTTTAGTAAGATCAAGGTACTCTTAATTGATTAACAATTCATTTGTAGCTACAGTATAACTATCTTGCAGATATCGTAGTTAACGTACCACTGAAAGTTTTTTTCGTTTCTTTATGCAAATTAGAAACTGCAATACGAGCAGCAAGAAGCGCATAATCAGGATGGTTTGTAGTCATTGACGCGGCAATTTCAGCGGCCAGGGTATCTAGTTCCACAGTCGTCACACCGTTATAAATACCAGCAATTACTTTCATGGTTATAGCAGCCTACAGAAGTCAAATTTATGTAAGAGTGAGTTGAAACATACATACGCAAGTCGGCCGTTTCTATGCTCAATTAATAGAACAAACTACGTAAGAATGATCATCGTAGCCACATGCCAACTAATACATATTTAAGCATTTCTTGGAAAGTAGCCAATTCGGTGCTACACCGATTAGCCATATAAAAAGAAACATTTTTCAAATTTCAACCATAGAGTTACTAAGAAAGATACTGTATCTATTTTTAGTTTTTGCTTTCAACATAAATAATCGTATTTAATTAGATAAATTTTCACTTTTGTTACTGCTACAAAACGATAAGGCATTGAACTAATAACTAAGCAGAAGCGATTGTACAATTGCATATACTGCATGACAGACGACAGTTTACTTCATTATTAAAGTATTCTCTTACAGTTTAACACTCAAAATTGTGAGTCTCCTTACTCTGACTCTACTATTAACTTGGCTGTTTATTTAAAGCTCTTCTAGTTACGATACAGCAAGTCTATTTTATTTTATCTAGACTCAAAGAAAAGATCGCTTTCCTTGCAACACTTTTTGATTCTATTTACACATCCTTTTCTTTCCACGATACATTATTTTATTGCATAGTAGTTGTTTTATCTAAGGATACATTAACCTTGATATTACGATACAGTATGAGGGAAAATCGAAATTTCTCCATGCGAATAGCGTATCTGGAAGTTATGTGAAAGCGCTTGAAACCACTCGATAAATCACAATTTGATCTAAAATGTCCAATCATAAACTATTCCAAAAATTTTCTTCAGCAAGGTGTGAAAGACTGTTTAAATATCGGCGCCAAGTTAATGGCGCCAAAGCGGTCAATCCTTCAGATAGAAACAATAAGTGTTTCATACTGTAAGCTACAGTACGATGCTAAATGAAACGTTTGGTACACTGTACTGTACCGGTGTGATTTACCTCCACTCGTGCAGTGCAGTACAGTATGTTTACGGTGCAGAGATTGTTGCGAGTTGATATTTGGGATCAATTTCTCCTGTCTGATCTACAACTTTACTACAGTAATGCAGCTAATGCTTATTCATCTTTGCCAGTTTACAGTACTGTACTTAACTACTCATTAATACAGGTGGACGTGGAATGTATTTGTAGGGGATTAAAAAATCGCACCTTTGTCTCCCCCCCTACAAATCATGCTATAAATTCCACATACATGGCATTAAACTACTTGCAGGCAATCCAATTTAGATGAAATTATGCTGTAGAAAGTACAACGTGGCAAGTTCACTTTGGTGTTTTGCACTGGTTCATCCTCGATGATAGATTTCGTCAATTGTGCTGCTGAAAATATTACTTGTTGGACTGACAATAGTATTGAAACAGTGAGTAGCTAAAAATACATGGAGAAAGATACTGCAATCTGATCTAAGAAATGTTACGCTAGTTAAGATCACGAATATGTGTCATTGGTGAATGCATCATGATAAATAATACTATAGTATGATTGAAGTTGCTAACAAGTCAACAAATTGAAGCAATTTTGTACGCTAGTGCGATTGCCATTAGATAGTCCAACTTACCGGATCAACATGGTCGTTGTTTAAATTGTAGCAAAGCTTGGATACTCTGCTTGTTATTTTGTCAAACATGACTTTTTCCTTTCGACCGTCTAAAGAGAGAAATTGTATAAATGCATTTGGATTAAGTACGCCGTCTTGGTCGTTGTACGAATTACTCTAGTCTAGATCGCTTCAATGTTAGCATTCATCCACATTACTGCCAATTAGAAAAGTCATTGTAGCATGCTTACCTCTTTTAACGACATACATCATGGTGATTTGTAGCTGAAAGAAAATTCAATGGGGAAAAAATGAATTTTTTTCAGTGAATTGAAGGCTAGTTAGTGTCTACAAGTTACTACACCAAATCACGAATGGCCTGCGAGCAATCTTTCGTAGCCAAGAGTGAGCACTTGTTGCCCCGGTCTGTTCAAGCGTTTTATACGTATATCAGGTGGGGTTGTACCGTACAGCACGTCAGCCTCCCACTGCCGTCCTTAGTTACCATGTTTTGCCTCATTTTCACTCAATCACTGACTCAGCCGTTCTGCATACTACAGTATACTGTACTCTACACGTACTGTACACTGTACTGTACAGTACTGAAGCTTGACTTTTACAATACTGTACACACAGTACAGTACTGTACAGGAAGTTTTATTTTTGCCTCCAAAAACTGAAGTTGGCGCCTTAAACGCGTCCACCAATCATCTTTCGACTTTATATGCATAATCATGTTGAATCACGATTGGACATTGAACAAAGAGGCATTGTTGTTGGATAGCAAGACGGTCCGATACGGTATAGTCCGGTACGATACGGTATAGTCCGGTACGATACGGTATAGTCCGGTACGATACGGTATAGTCCGGTACGGTACGGTATATTACTCTAGTTCCAACTGGTCTATGCTACCCAGCTCAAGTAGTCATGCAAGTTATAACATTTGCAATCCAATTTGCTTGCTTTACGAAAAATGATAAAGTCATTAAACTCCAATGGAACTCCAACGGATCCATTGTAACTAAAGTAAATAAATTAAATTAACAGTTCAATATTGTTGCCGTATAGCCCAAAATAATCCACTTCCCCGATGAAATGGTAGCCAATGAATCTGCGATGTTGTTGTTCGTTCACATTCTTACTGTATGGTATAGGTTAGCCAGCGGAATGTCAGCCGGGCTTTTCTACACAAAATGTCTCAATCGATGACTTTACGCAAAAATATCCCCAGTTTAGCAGTATTCTCCGTTGAACCATGATGGTATTACCCCCCTAAAATCGGCTTCTACTGTATGTCTATAGATAAGAGTAGATGTAGTCATCGGCTTAAGCAACATGTCAAACTATAGCAATAACAAATAAATATTTCCAGAACAATCTGCAGGAGACATGAAACTGCAAACAATATCCCCCCATTGCCGGCGATGTTCAAAGTTCTTGGTGTCAAAATCTCCCCACAATGCAGTCGTCCTTCTTCAACAAATAATCATCAAATCAATACGTAACATGACATTAGTTGCAATTCAATGAAATACATTATTCCGTTGCATGCCTTATTAAATTGACGTCCGTAGCCGTAGGTAGAATGGATTAAACAATCACTTGGTGGAAACAATATTGTATCGTATCACGAGCCTAACAGTTAATTATTGTGTCAATACAGTATTCAAGAAAAACGGACGTCTCGGCGGTTTTCTTGAATTCTTACGAATTGATGCATGTATAGAGTAGAATGGACAGTAATCAACAATACTCGATCAACCTATTATTCTAGTGTACGTTAATTCAAGTTCTATTGCTCTACAGAGAAGACTTTTCACTAAAGAGTCCACCCTTAATGCACAATAAGTCTGAACGAAAGGTCAAATGTGACCTTTTTACGTTATGTATTACTTTAGTTTGTGAAAACAGTATTGTCAATCAACGAGTGGACCATCGGATACGATACAGAATAACCTACTCCTATACTGTTTATATAACTTGCAGCTATCGAAGAGACTAAATAGCCGATCTCGAATTTCCATCTTTCCCATTAGTCGTAAAACATTTTCTATGCTATAACAGTCATAGATTCATGATTGAGTTATTCATAACTCTCCACGAATCTTCCCCAGTGATCAACGCACGAGATTTTAGTCCAATTGTAGTAAATGATGTAAAGCATCATACCACTTGTCGTCAATAGTCTATCATCATGATATAACCGTCAGTCATCCAGATTATTATGGCGTTCCACTATCTATGTCATGCATTCATACATTTGTTGCATTTTATACGATTAGCGAATGGCATAGTTTTGGCAATATTGCAATAAGAATTATAAATTAGCGAAACCAGTGGAAATTCCACGAAATATAGTACGATTTGAAGTTAATCGCATTAATATAATTTGATTATAACTGGAATCAATAATAGTGTGCTTATTATCATGTCCAATTGATGTTACCTCTTCATTGAGCTTTGTGTTAACTTTACCACAACATTTTCGGCTAGCAAACTTTTCGCGATGAAAGGCTTCACGAAGTCTAATTACAAATCTAGTGGTAGTACGGGCAATCGTCAACCTACGCAAAGTATTTCATGCTATGATAAAATGACTAAATGAATAGCCTTCAAAAGTCAAGTTATGCGACATCTCTTCCTATTTTGCAACGATTCTGTCAGGTTAAATAAAATTCGATTACAAAATCAGCATACAGTACTGTAGTTTACCATTATCATCAGCACTCTATTGTTAGTATGCCATTAATAATCTCTGCATATTGTACTGTATATTCGGTATATTCCGATGCTATCAGTAATAATTAGTCAGAGTTTAATGCTGACTAGATATCAATAACAAATTTAGTGATACTACATCATTCTATTAGTATAACCTGTCCCGATAGTGCAGTAGCTGCAATAAAAGCTAATAACTACTAGAATAGCAAGTCCCTGATCATTCATTTACCTATTATTAAATGCTCTAATCATTCCATGCAGGTCATAAAGTACTGCTGCAACTACTAGAATAGCAAATCCCTGATCATTCATTCACTTATTATTATTAAATACTTCAATCATTCCATGCAGGTCATAAAGTATTGCTGCACTTTCCTTTTACAACAGATTTTATTTTAGAGCACGAGAGTAATAATAGAAACAGAAATAATTGTCATTTAGATAGAAGTACAAGTGGTTCACTTTAACGAGCAAGTGAAAGACTGAGCTACCACAGTACGCGATTCAATTTTATATTTATCGTTGTGGCTATAACTCATTCACTAGCTTACGGAAAATGTAAGTATCATCAGCGATATGTCGACCAATGAGCCGACGAACGCAACATATTCCGGTATTATTGAAGAGTAAACACACAACATACACGTATGTTCCAACCATAGAGGTAAATGGAAAGAACTCTACGGTTTCAACTTCCATTTACAGAGAGCTCTTTCATGGGGCTATCACCTTCAAAGTTTGCTGCAGTAATAACAAGTAAGAATTTTGTTTGCACACTACCGTACGCATTGCACTCGCAAATGAAGTCTTATTGTATTAAGCCAGCAAACTAACATTCATCATGGTGCACATAACATTAGCTTAATCAAATTTTCCTATCGATTAACATGCAGTATGAATTAAGTAATGCTACGGAATCTTATACCATGAAAATAGCGATAACTACAAATCACTTGATTTGATTTCGCCAATCCTACACAGCAAGTAAATCATCCTACAAAATTAATAACTGTAAACAAGACGTACGGTACTCTACCGGCTTCAGCACGAAAGGTGTGCAGGTATTCCTACATTTGCATAAAGTAAAATTGCCCCACAAGAGTAATAAGTAGAATCGTTTGAGAAGACCACTAGCGAATACCGTAAATACTTTATTTTAAAATTAGAAGTCAACACCATTAACTGCTATCACAACTTATCATGTCAACTCGTATATTGTAGTTGTTGCAGTAGATAAATATGTTACATAAAAGTAGTCTTGAAATGTTTTCATATAATGATTGCTGTAGCCTGTATAGTAAAGTCAAATTACGTCATCATCGTAATATATCATGTTAAAGATTTAATGACCAAATTTAAGCCACAATTACCCGATAGGCGATGTGCTGGTATAGTTTAGTAAGAAATTAATTAGTTCATTAGTTGTACTTGTCTATAGATCATACAACCAGATCTTCATCAGTGCATGGCTACTCTCGTATTTCGTTAACGCTAATTAACGTATGAATCCTCTTGCTGAATCCTGTTAAGCAATTTCACGTCTACCAATTCGTGTGCAATAGAATTGGTTAAGTTTCATACCTATTTGCCTTGACTTGCAGCTCTAACATTTCATTTTCACGAAGTAAAGTAAACGCATTCTATGGGAAAGACGCAGATGTACTGTATATAGGACGTAAAGATGTTGAAAAACATTTAAGTAGTGTTCTACTTATCGTCTATTCAGCCATAACTATCAAATTTTATGAAGTCCAACTTTATTACAGATGATCCTCGCACAGGACAACAGTTACTGGAAGATAACAAATCCGAAACACAACTATCATAGACTCCTTGATATTTTAATGTAGTGTACTTTACCGTCAATCAAATAATTAAGCTATTACAGATGCATCAACGAATAAGATAAAAGTTAGAGGAAAATAACAAATTAGCAGCAGAACTATCATAGACTCCTTGATATCTTACTGTATTGTGCTTTACCATCAATCAAATAATTAAGCAGTAAAACAGAGTCAACCGTCAGTTACAATTATTTATCATTAAAGACTTTTATTAGTTCTTATCCATTTGCCTCGATAATCTGATATGCTTGATTACAGTATCGTTGCAATTGGCTCTGACTGCAGTCACTGCACCACTCAAAAGCATCGTAAGCCATCTTGTAGATCCTATTTTACTAATCAAACAGCACTACAGTAGCACGATATGCATAATATCTTTTCTGTTTACTACTATATAGAGCTAAAGGAAAGAACAAAATGAATACTTTTTCATTCCTGCCTATCCATGACCATCTACACTATCGATAACCGATTCGACTCCTTTTCCAATTATTTTCAACAATCACTACGGAGCTTTTTGATATCATTTTGCACTTGCATTTCTAGTTTCAACTTTCTCAAGTAAGCGTATCATGGCAGAGTCGATCGAATATCCGATCTTGTTGCTTGTCATCACAAACATCAAACATGTCTATGAAATCATTTTGTGTGCAATAAACGGGGCTACAAACATCAAGATGAATTCTGTGTAGCATGGAAGACATTGCACTTACATTTTACTGTCCCTGCTTGCTTCAAGAGAGTTGCACATAAGAGCAAACATGCCGCGCAATCCTCCAAGTTTTGCAGGTAATTAATGCCAATTGGACACGAGTGATGCTCCTTTTGTATAGCATCGGATGTCAAAAGCACAGTACGCTTTACTAATCTGTCGACGCCTTACTATTCCCTATATCACGTTGGCTTGAATTGTACAGTAGGTTAACTTACTATCATGATCACGCCGAGGTCGAACGTGTCACCATTGAACAGTTCGTGCGTGCTTCAACACGTTCCAGTCGACCGTTACTCGGTGTCACTGTCCCACAGGGTGACGGTGATTCATAATTACGTCACGGTTACTCGAGTACCGTTCCATCCGTATGTCCGTATGCCATCATTCATACGTATGATACCATACAGTACAGTACAGTACTATAGTTTTGAGATATAGACAGACGGACTTTGGTTTCCAACGGAGGCCTTCAATATCGGAAAATGACTACTTAATATGGTTCTTCCATCTCTATTTTCGAAATCATAAGTACTAATTTAAAATTGCGTTTACAGTCTTGACTGGATCAACATCAACATGCGATTCCTCTACATTACATGTATAAAATACGATACAGCAGATTCCAATATTATACTTGTAATATAGGAGAGTCGTACAATATTGATATTGAAACAGTCGATTCTAACCATATCGTATTTGCGAATTTGTATATTGATCCTAAAACTCTTTTCAAGCAGAACTTTGTAGCAGATACAATACTCAATTAAGCAGTATCCTTCAACGTCTACTCGCAACCCGACTTGAGAGCAAGATTCGGGTTAACCATTTCTGTGGGTGATACAGTGTTTGTAGAGCGATTGCACTCGTTTCGGGTTTGAAAATCAACAATTTAATCGAGTTCGGGTTGCGTTTTCACTCCATTGCAGGACTCTGAAATTAAAGTTAAGATTCAATCAATGTACTGTACGCTGCACTTGAACACCATGACTGCACAGTGCACAGTAGTATTACTTCATTTAGAAAACATCAGCCAATTCAAAATCGACCATCCGAATAGTAAAGTACAGCCATAACGCGGAGGGTTAGGTACAATATTTTGACGGGATGAGGCCGAAAAGGTCTGTCCGTCCACGGATGATCCGGTTCATAGTTAGTTAGTACGGTTGAACAGCAAAATAGAGTAGTCGGTCTACACATCGCCATTACTGCATGATGGAGTAAGAGTAGCAGTACAAGTTCTAAAGATGACTGATTCAGATTAATGAGAGATACAAATAAATTCAGAATGTTTTATAACCTACTAGATAAACTACAATAGGAGCAACTATAGCTGGCAGAAATCGATTTAATTTTCCTTCATCATATTTATTGATTTCCTAAATGTAAGATATTACATACCAATATAGTAATCACGGTAGTAAATACCACTACTGAGGTATAAACGGTAAAAATTGCCATCTCAAAATAATTAATTTATTCCTAATTTAACAATTATAATGATAACATTGATCGACAATATGAAAATTAAACAGCTTTATCCTCCGAATACAAGCATTTATATTAGTAAACACTATAACGCCTCCAATCGAGACTCATTAACAAGCATAGACTGCTGCCGTATACTCAGATAAACAATGCTAAGAAAAATAGTAACTGTTAGATTATTCAATGCAACAGCATTGGAAATATTAAATTATTTTACTTCTTTTGTAGCCGTCATTTAAATGGCACGATTAAAATTTACAAAACGCTTTGCAAAACCTATCTTTCAGCAAACTATTCTATAATATAATTAAAAGTTTTATCTTTGCCTTAGGCGTATTAATTAGTTCGATGCGCTATCGTACTTTGCGCTAATTGTCGAAACAAAGGCACTTAGCCAGTAACAATCGACTACAATATATTACAATATTGTAAAAGTATCAACTGTTTTTTACATAAGCCAGTTAAACATTAAATTCCGATACTCTCCAAAACAATACTGACAATCCTTTGCTATTTTTAGGTAATTTTTCATCATCCAATTGCTGCTTGGAACTATTCTTAAAAGTTCGGCAGCCATGACCACAACTCACAATAAACACACTGGCAACTCCTTCAGCATAAGACGCACTATCATCTTTGCCATGACTACTACATCTTGACAGCGTTGGAGAGTCGAAACGGCAACCTGACCCTGCGTCAGATGTATCACTATCATATGCTGATGTGGTAATAATAACACTAAGCATATCGACGGAACCATAATGACCGCAACTGAGCAACGTTATGGGAGGACATTGTTCCAAACAAGACGTAGAGATCGTAATATTAGGTAAAGGTAAATTCAGTATAGCTCCCATATTAGTACCAATCCATAATAAATCATTGTAGACTAAAAGCGAAGTTACTTGAATATCATTTCCCATATCGTAGAGACTTTGCATGCCGTCGCTATCGATACCTAATAGTTATTAATTAGTCAGCAGTAAGTAATTTAATAGAAAGATAGCAAAAATGTAACAGCCATCTTGTATCAAACTAACCTGATAATACATCTGGAGCTGTATCGATAACTAGTAAACGCTCGTAACTAATTGCATGAAATAATCGAAGAATGGAATTGCGCGAAAAAGAGACCCAAACACCGGTCTTGTAGTATATCATTTTATCAATTTTACTATCTTTCTTAACATTGATGATAATACTTGCCTAAAGAACACATTCAACATCCAGTAAATCATGACATTAAGGATAGCGACGATGCAAATTTACAAGAAATTGCCCTTGTTAATATCGAATAACCGCAGTATGTGCAATATCTACGCGCTGCTTACCTCTATAGATAGTGTTTCAATGTTGATGACTTTTATATTATTTTCGCAGCTGCACCAGATAGTATCTAGGGCGTCGATCATATACGTAATTGGAGTCTCAAATAAATGTATTTTAACAGCGTCGTGATTATCATTATTCCCAGATCCTAAAATACACAAAAAATTCGCGTCAACTATTGCAATACTGAAATTAAAAAAAATGAACTATATTCCAGTTTAAGCCTATCTCTAGTTACCAAGATTATATACAAGAAGGTTGCCACTTGTTAATGACAAAAATACTCTATTCTTGGTATATCTACAGATAGATAAAAATGATTAATCAATAAAAGCCTAATACACGCCACTACTGCAGTATAAATATTTACAATAATTTATTTAAATTAATTAATTACGGTATGATTTGCTACTTACAGGATAGCAGTTATCGGTGCATCGTGCTGAAATATCACTTCTTTCTTTTGATCCTTTAAATGGCAACTTAAAATGCGAATACTATTACAGTGATAATTATAATAGTACCGACACAAATAAAACGAGTTAGAAGTGACGACAAATACACAGAAAAACGGTAACATTTTTTTAAAAAGTTTTGCAATCCAACTCACCTCCCATTGTTTAAAGCTATCCATAACGTATTTCTTCCTTCCATATCATCCAACCAGACGAATAATTCTTTTGTAGTATCATCCAATGAACCATAGTATGACTCTCTATCGGTATTCAATTGGGGTGATGCAGGTTCACGATCTGTGTAGTATTTACTCAATTGGCTTAATTTTAAGGATTCATTACCAAATGAATCTGGCGCATTAACTTGATTATGTGTCGTAGATTTCGCATTATCTTCTAATTTATTTAATGAATTTACACAATTAAAGATCTTTTACTTTGTAGTCAAAATCAAAATTTTGTAATCATCATTGAATGAAGCAAAACTACTCTACCTTCAATAGCATTAACTGCATTTGGTGTCTCGTCTGTCGATGAATTCAACTCTGAGGATGTATTTCTTTCCAAGTCATCTTTCATCGCGTTATCATCATTTGAATATGTTATTTCCATGAAGTTATTGCTAGGCTTACAATCGGCTTCAATGGTACTGACAATAATTTTGTCAGCTTGTACAGTGATATGAGGCTCATTGAGTGATGATAACGAGTTGTTATCGTCAGTTATAGATGTCTCAATGGTTTCAGTACGATTACTTATGGAATCGACTTGGAGCTCTTTAACACTTTTCGCATGATTTAAATTTGCTATCTTTACAATATCATTTGTGAACTGATCATTGCTATCCTCTGTCATATGTATGTTCGATCTAAAATTTAAATTGAAAGGTGCACAGGCTAACGAAGTTACACTTTCCTTCATGTCAATCACCTTATTGCATATAATCTGATCAGATTTTATAGAGAGACAATGAATTTCAGTCCTATTGGAATTGCCAAGTGCCATCCATACAGCGCTATTCTTGTGTAAATCCTGTATACTTGATCCAGTAATATTATAAATCATTGAATTGGCCCAACGAATTACCTACATGTAGTAGATAATATTCAGTCACCAATACTGTCTCTTATCATACAGCAATGACAAAACTACTATACTGTTATTAGATGTTATTAGAATCATTACCTTTAAATTTTCTTGTTCATTAACATCAGTATTTGGAAATTCCCAAGTACGGTCCAACTTAGGCAGTGCTTTTCTTTCCTCATCGTCATCTATGCTCTCTAAAACATCAGCAAAACTCATTCCTTGAGCAACATTGAGCTAGTTACGTTGCTAATTACACATTTATTACCTAGACGCTTTAAAAGATCCGCAAAATCATATTTCCATGATGATTTGGCTTCAGGAGATTCAAAAGAGAACGAAAAAGTTGCTTCACTACCATCCCTAATCCAACCAAATCCGTGAAAAAATCAGTGCATCAAAATTAAATGTAATCGCCTCTTAGTCACGTAAGATGTTCTAGAGTATTTACCGAAAATTGATAGATAATTCTACCAGTGTAAATAGTAGACCGGAAGTGTTTTGTTTTTGCTCCGCCAATTGATGCTTTTCCAGCAGATTTGCAGCTTGTTGCAATTTTTGCGCTAAATCTTCCGTTAGCTTTTGTGAGCAATGCTGCAGTTCCTATTAAAAGCATGCCTCGAATTAGCTGGCAGTATAACGAACAGATAGAACTAAAGAAACTGATTTAAAAACCTTATGGTTGCAGTTAAGAGACTCAGAGAGTGTAGTAATTTGCCGCATAATATGTAAATCATGTTCAATTTCTTTTATTGCGCTCTTATCAGTCAATATACGAGAATTTTGCCCTACTGTTGCAGTTGATGGCGCTAAATAAATAAAACGATAGATAGCATTTTTAGTAAATCCCTACAGGCTACGCGTATTATTGACGATTATTTTATTTTTCCAAAGTTACTATTACGATCATTGCATACCTTGACAAATGCTTATATCTCGCAAAGGCGCCATCCATTGCAGCCTATACTTAAATGTCTCACCGGAACTCATTCTTTGCATTAAATCGATATTGAGATAAAGTAGTTAATGAAGTAGCCTAACAAGCGATCTGAAAAGTTAAACTGTGATGATACCGTAAGTCTATACCTTTTAAATGTGCCAGCTCTCCGCTTAACAACACATACCAACAGATCGGAAAAGAGAATTAAACTCCTATCCTTCCTAACTATACCTTTGCCCTTATTAATACATATCGAAAGACCGAAAGGTTAAAAGTATAGCCAAAATTAAGCTAAAGTAATCTAGTAGACTTACCAATTCAGATACGTTATCGCGTCTTATAAAGTGTCTTCCTGGTGATGCAAGCTATCCATATGAGACAAACAATGAATATCAATTTTAATAATTGAGAATCACACTCGTAGAAATGTCGCTAGTTTCTACATACATGTGGAAAACCATCGATAAGGATTTCAATATCACGAATTTTCTCTTCTTCCTTTTTATGCCTTTCCCTTTCTACTTTAACTTCATTCATAGAATCAGCAAGCTTTCGCAACTCTCTTAATGCAACCTTTAAACTATCGTAATCGTGATGTGATAGAGGCGTATACTTTAACAATTCCTAATAACAACAACTTTATACGTCAATATTCAGTCCATACACAATAAGATTGAATAATTTGTCAGCAATATGCAAGAAAATTTATCCAAGATAGATAGCTCTAGCTTCAAAAAGAATGGTCACCTTAAGCACCAAAACATATCGCGGGATTCTCTGAACGGGCATAATCATAAGATCTTGTAACGTTAATTTTTCTTTATGTTCTTTAGCACATACCTAGTAAATGACGCGTAAGATATAGACAATACGTCTTTAAAATTTCAATCTTGACTTACTTCTAAGAACTTTTGGAATCCTTCATTTGATGAATAGGCAACTGTTAATGCTTTTCTAGCTCTTGAAAAATTTATAATAAAGTTACTGTAGGCGTTAACCAGGATAACCTTGGTAAACTAAAAAAAAGCAAACCGATCCTATTAGTAACAAGTAAAACAGTACGAAGTAACGAGCGGATAATAATAATTTTTAAGAATAGCTCATTGCCAGAAAACAAGTAAACTGTTAAGTAACATACACTTTGAAGGAATAAATCTCCTATCCTCCTTTTATTGTCGCTAGTTTCTATTCGACGAGCCAACTGATCGAGGAAAAAATCATGACACAACAAAATTTCCGGTACTTGATAGAATATGGCATTGATTAAGTTCTTATTAATGACGATGTTATTGCTAGGATCCTTAAGAGTATTATAATAATCCTACAAAATACGGAATATGATCATCCAAAAATGTAAAAGCAATATATATTGCAGATAGGTGATTAACGCATAAATCTGATCAAGGTTAAACCAAGAAATTACATTCTACTAGCAATTTATCCTGCCTAGGTACATGTTACAGTACGTCAATATAGCGTAAAGTAACAGAATCTTTTGTAGTAAAAGTATCAGTTATCAACTGTAACTCATCCTATTTATACTTTCCTTTAATTTACTTTAAGTGGTCCTTTAAATACATTAGTAATAGAAATTGTCTTTCTTTAATTAAAATTATCATGTGATACTAGTAGTTCAAAAGTTGTTGAGATTCACAATAAGTTAATTCATTAATAAAGTATATAACAGTAAAAATCTTAATGTGACTTATATGGATAAAAACATGGATTAATAGTCACATGCCGTATACCTGCTTCAATGTCCGGAGAGCTGCTACGTAATTTATTTCTGTTTCTAAAAGATTTTGTAAGATATGATGTCTAGTATCCTTGAGAAAATAAATAAGAAAATTTCAGTAAGCAGGTCGTATCACTGATCTTTTCCAATTCTACGCTGGTAATCAAGATGTACCTCAATAGAGCTTATTGAGGTCGCAGCAACTGAATCCTCAGTGTTTTTATTGGTCTTATCATTTCCCATATTTTTAATATTTGGATCTAACGGTGGTGGAGTGTTAGCAACATCATCTTCTTTTGAGTGTTGCTTTTTTGAAGTTAGTATAGGACTGCTGCTACTTGAATTTGTCACCGAACGACCAGATACACCATGAAGAAGTATTTTACGAATCGACGGTCGTGATTTCAATTTGGGATAATGTGTTGGCACCTTAACGGCGTCATCATCAAGAAGCAGTTTAGCTGAAAGAGCTTTAGTAAGTTTCTTATGTGTATAACTCAATGGAGAGCCTTTCTTATTTGGAAGTAAAGCTAAATCTTCTGCACTTTCAAATTTGTGAGATTTATGTCTACGACTGCCATTTCTGATTTTGGCATCAGTAGTATTGGTATCATGGGAACCATTATTTCGAATAAATGCGTTTGCATCTCCGAAACTACCACTGGACCTCATTATATCATCAACAGGTTGAATAATTGCTTGACGAGGTACTTGATAATCGTCAGTTGTAGTATCAGCTTGAGCTCGATCTCTTAAATTGTTTTCTACCGGTTTATTACTTCTAATATCGCTAGGTACACAATAATAATGTTCCTCATCGACTTGTTGTTTCTTTACTTTGCCGTTAGGTTCTACATCTGTTTAGGGGAAAAAATAGAAATACGCAATAGTTTTATTGATAGTTCAAGAAACTATTCAATTATAACTTAATCGTAATCTAGAGTAGCAAGTTGTCAATATTATCTTTCCATTTTATCAACAAGTGAGTGAAAACTAGTTGTGCTTCAGCAAGTAATTACTTACCTAATTTGCTGTATAATTTGTGGCGTAACGTAGGACTTGTATGCGCTGAATGAGACTTTTCTTTAGGGATCTTTTTCGATAGTAATTGGTTAGCCGAGCTTACAATTAAGGAATCGGATATTAAACTCCTTCGATTATGTACTGCTTGTAATACTTTATCACGTCGAATTTTATTCTTGTCAGAAACGTCCAATGATTTTCTATTTTCTGCCTGATTTACTAATTTACTATCGTCATGGCGTGCTCTAACCGAATACTTGGAGTACAATCCAACCTATATAGAATCAAAAGGAGGAAAATTCAAGCTTCAATTGTGTCCACTCTTTATGTCATATACGATGTGGAACACTTTAATAACAACACACATTTCGGTTGAAAAATACGATAATAATTATTATTCATCAAAAGTTGTCATTTTTAAGTTGACTACAGTTATCTCCCATTTTATCGAACTTCAAGAATGTCCAAAACCTCCATCAACATTGACTGTGCGTATAGTACCGGCGAGATAATAATCATTGCAGAAATAGAACAGATATCCTGGTGCCAGAAATTATTGCAAACGTTAGGATGATCAGCGTTACTGTCGTCTCTTCAAGCTCAAGACTGGCAATAATGACAAACTCGTTACTCTTCATCATCGTATATGGCATGAGAATAATTTCAAATTAACAATATTGCCTTTCACCGCTGCATTAGGTTATGATATAGTTTAAAAATTTGCATATAGAGGCGTTTAGAAGTAGTAGAAATTGGATCCATAATTATAAATCCACATTTTTGTAATTACAGCTAAATTAATCTAATTCATGAATATTACAACAATCGAGTTCTTCCATCGACGTATCGATTGCTCATGTGTAAATTGGATATTATTTTGACATCTTACGCTTATTAAAGCGTTCATAGGTCATATTTTGAAGGGTGTATTAATGGTTAAGGTAAGAGAGAAGTTTCTAGCTGAATTTCTATCTACATTACTACACTTTCAAATGATCTACAAGGATAGAAAATGATGTTAAGACACGCTGCTTGATCCTTACAGTATGGCTAACGTACAGTGAGGAGATCACTTTATAATGTCTTCAAGTTTATCGTCATCAAATGGTGAAAATAAACGGCTTCCATGGCTAGCATATATCATCAATTCGGTCGTCATGAATATTAGAGTAGGCAGGCCATTTTACAGTTGGACTTGCATGCCTGGATAGAGATGGACAGGAAGAAAAGTCCTCATTTCGAGGTGTTGCTCATCAACTGTCCACAGTGAGAGCTGTATTACTGACTATCTTGAAAGTTTCTCGTTATCAAATCGAGGCATAAACTACATTAATGGCTAGCAAAGAGTCCATAATAACGTTAGTGGTCATTGATGTCAGAAATCAAGGATATTTTCCATTTAAACCTACATTCACTAACAAGGGTGTAAAGTGATTCTATAAAATCGTCATCTTCGTACTTACTATATGAATGAATAGTGATGATATTCCTTTCCATTATCTCCCTTTTTATCAACTTATGGAATGCATTTTCGAGTCACAGATATCAGAAGAGAAGACAAACTTTCTATTTCAACCCACATTTTACTTTACTGTACTTGTAGAAAGAATTGGTAAGGATAAAAATTGTCGTTTGCTAACTATTGAAGTTCATTTTCGACATGTTGCTGGCGATTTCCTGTATGAATCAACAGTAGCGATATTCCTTTTACATTATCTTCCAAGTGCCTTGTTATCAAATTATGCAATGAATTCCATCGTCATGGATATCAGAAGAGAAGGAAATTTTCGATTTCAATCTACACTACTTTACTCTACGCGTAGATAGGATTTGACAAGGATAAAATCATCCATTGCCCATTACTCAAGTCCATGTTTGATATCTTACTGATTACCTACAGTACGAATCAACAGCGAAAATATTACTCTAGGTCTATCTAGAATTTGATTGTCATCAAATCATAACCTCTTTCGATGGCTAGTATATTGTACATCATAAATTGTGTAGTCATTGACATCAGAGTAGAAGGAAATTCCATGTTGAAATCTACATTAATGGACGATAGAATGGATTGACAAGGATAATGATTGTCCTTTTCCATGTGTTGCTGACTACTTATTGTAGGAATCAACAGCGAGAATAGAACTGGGCATGTTGATGGTCATCGAATTAAAGAATAAACGCTTTCCATGACTAGTAGACATCATCTATTCCCTTGTCATCTATATCGAAGGAGAAGGGAATTTTTTCCAGTATTTGAACTTGCATAACATGAAGAAATACCAGGGATTGACAAGGATCAAAGTCGTGATTGGCTCACTACTTGCTGTACGAATCGACAACCAAGGTAAAGAATCAACTCCTTGGGTAGCTACTAGACATTATCCATCCCGTAGCCATCGATAGTCGAGAAGGAAACTAACTTTGCATTTGAACCTCATGACTACACTGTACCGGAGACGCATCCATCGCCAGGATATTGCCGTCCATCTTGAAAGATTATCGTTATCAAACTAAAGGAATACGAGTAAATTCTTTCCAGAACTACATCATCGATTCGGTAGTCATTCATATTACAACTTGATTAATGTTGATGTGATTGTTTAACAAGTATATCTCCACTATGCAAGGTCGATAAATCAGTCATAAGTTTGTATTTCTAGCTATGCGACTTAACATCATTCCTCTATCCCTAACACCTCAAAGAGCATCGATATGATGATCGATGGCCATATTGGATAGTAGGTCATCACGATAGGTTACGTCGTGGCTAAAATAAAAGTTACTTCCAGCTATGCTATGCTACTACAGCCAAGATCGTTCCTTTAACTACAACATAGTAAACAGACTCGACGATCGTCATGCTCAAATTAATAAGTCAACAGGATTGGCTACATCGTGGCTAAAATCAAAGTTATTTCCAGCTATGCTATGCTACTACAGCCAAGATCATTCCTTTAACTACAAGTTAGTAAACAGATTCGACAGTGGCCATATTGGATAGTAGGCCATCTAACCACTATATAGTAAACAGACTCGACGATGACCGATCGCCATGTTCAAATTAATAAGTCAACACGATAGGTTACATCGTGACTAAAATCAAAGTTATTTCTAGCTATGCTATGCTACTACAGCCAAGATCATTCCTTTAACTACAAGTTAGTAAACAGATTCGACAGTGGCCATATTGGATAGTAGGCCATCTAACCACTATATAGTAAACAGACTCGACGATGACCGATCGCCATGTTCAAATTAATAAGTCAACACGATAGGTTACATCGTGACTAAAATCAAAGTTATTTCCAGCTATGCTATGCTACTACAGCCAAGATCATTCCTTTAACTACAACCTAGTAAACAGACTCGACGATGACCGATCGTCCTGTTCAAATTAGTAAGTCATCACGATAGGTTACATCGAGGCTAAAATGAAACTTCTTTCTAGCTATTGCTACTACAGTAAAAATCATTTTTCTACCGACAACATAACAACTAGACTCGACGATGACCGACCATCATGTTGATATTAGTAGATTATCACCCTAGGTTGCATCATGGCTAAAATAAAAGTTCATTCTAGCTATGCAGCTACAGTAAAAAATAAAAAACATTCCTCTATTTGTAGCTTTACAACAGAGCAAACAGACTCGATAATGGCCAATCGCCATGTTGATATTGGTAAGTTATGATGATAGGTTACATCGTGACTAAACTAAAAATTATCTCTAGCGATGCAACCACAGTCAAGATCCTTTCCCTATCCCTTAACACAGTAAGCAGACTCCTTACCTTATCCGAATGATCGCGTGATGTATTGGAATCTGTAACAAATCATGGGAGAATATCATTAGTTGTTAGCCATGGTTGATTATAAAATTAAATATACAAATTTCATTTTGTGATTAATTTAATGATAACCAAGCATCATCGTGACGACAGAATAACAACGTGATCAATATTGCCAATATTACGCGTCTTTCTAATGGGAATAATCATGGCAGTTGGAAAAGTATTTATCATCCACCCGTGGCATGATTACTGTGTATCCCCATCAAAATAATTAGATGTGATATAAACGAGTAAAAAAATCAATCAATCTTCTATCGACAACTATGAATAAAATTGGTAAGAAAGGAAAGTATGCTGTAAAAGTGAGAAAAGGAGCTTTGCGTTAGTAAGGAAGAAACTGTATTTTCATCCTCGTATTCACACTATTTTAGAGATTTGATGCAATCCAAACTGGTTAAAAAAAAAAATCATCCTCTTCCATCTGCAACTTTGACCACAAGAGACAAGGAAAGAGAAAGCGTTTGTAAAATTAAAAGTAATCCGTATGGAAGAAATTTCATTTTCATATTCAACTCTATTTTAGTGATTTGATGCAATCCAAATTGGTTAAAAGAAACAAAAAATCATCCTCTTCCATCTGTAACTTTGACCAAAAGAGACAAGGAAGGAGAAAGCGTTTGTGAAATTAAAAGTAGTCCGTATAGAAGAAAATTCATATTCAACACTATTTTGGGATTCCATGCAATACAAACTGATTCAATAGAAAGAATCGTCTTCCACCTACAACTTGGACAGCAATAGAGAAGGAAGGAAAGAGTTTGCACGCTAACTGAGAAAGGAGATTTTAGTCAGTTAGAGAGAAACTGCGTATTTATCAACCCCGTTTTAAGTAGTACTACAGTTGCTTTTTCAACTCTATTCAACTCGACGAATTTTCTTTCCTTCGTGTTTTTTCTTATAAACATCAGTTTCTTAGTGCATCGTGATTCTCCATGTTGTTGGAGAAGAGCTTGAACACGCGGGTAGAGAAAGTAGGATGCGAATCCAGTAGGGAGGACAAGACTACGACTTACCCACAGTCGATCTTCGAATAGCAAATGCTGATGCATATTCAACGCTTTCGGCAAGTTGCTGGGTCTCGACAGCCACTTTTTCCTCATCTTTATGATAACTAATAACTTTATTCCGATGTTTTTTACTTCTCAAATGAAACATTTTGTTCCACGGAGAAAATTATTGCAAGACCAATCAATTAATTCTACTACAAGAAAAGAAAACTATTGCTTTAAATGTGGATGCAAAAGACCGCCATGACGACAAGCCTGGAAATGGATTAATTTTGCGGGCCGCAAGCAAGATTGTCAACGATGGCTATGCCTTTGGCGGACAAGTGAACTAATAGGCTTGAAAGAATTAACACTTTTCAATGGCGTTAAGCACTATGTCAATACCAATTGGCTTGTGAGTCTATCCAATCGACACTGGTGTCGATTGGATAGAAGAATTGCAATCTACGTCTTATTGACAGACCGAAAGCGATAATTTCTTTTCTGTGTCGATTCCGCGTTCGAGGATGGAATGGCGACAAACTGTTTTCAATAGCAATCTGTCCAATTCTTCAAGTCACGAAGGATTGAAGATGGAAGAGTATGAGAACTCGAGCATCAATGGCGCCAAGTGGTTAGAGAAATAAATGACACAATCGCTGATAGAAAGGAATCCACCTTTTTAAAACTCTCCACTCGCTAGAAGGAAGAAGAAGGAATGACCATCCGCCAAGCTCAAGACTGTACTAAAAAGATTGTATCTATCCTACTAAATATGTCGTCCTTCTCCACAGATTGGTTGTTTATAGCAATTTCAGTCAGCAAGTAAGTATGCAATTACCCTTGGCACAATCCGAGTTTCCTTTTCTATCTGGATAATGGATCGATAGCAAGTTTGCTAATGGCACCACTGTTCCTAATGGGTAGCTAAAGAAATGCTAATGCTCTCTTTAATTTTTTTCTCCGATCACGTCGATCACGTAGGCAACAAGGTGGATGGGAAAACGCTATTTAACAGATTATAATGGATTGAAAGTTGGTTTTGAAATTGACTTTGCAATGGTAATAACCAATTAGACTTAATTTCCACTAGAGTGATCAATCAATTCGACTTAATTTGCGCTAGACCAAGAACGAATTGAAGGTGATTTCTACTTGGCTAACAACCAAATTCGACTTGATTTCTACTAGACGAAGAATCGATTTGATGTGATTTCCACTCGGCTAACAATCAATTTGGCTTGATTTCTATTAGGCTAGCAATCAATTTGACTTTGATTTCTACTAGACGAAGAATCGATTTGATGTGATTTCCACTCGGCTAACAATCAATTTGGCTTGATTTCTATTAGGCTAGCAATCAATTTGACTTTGATTTCCACTAGACTAACAACGAATTGAAGACGATTTCTACTTAACTAACAACCAAATTCGACTTGATTTTCACTAGACTAAGAATCAATTTGCTTTGATATCTACTGGACCAACAACGAATTGAAGGTGATTTCCACTCAGCTAACAACCAATTCTACTTGATTTCCACTAAACTAAGAATCGATGTGATGTGATTTCCACTCAGCTAAGAATCAATTTGGTTTGATTTCTACTAAGCTAGCAACCAATTTAACTCTGATTTCCACTTGATTTCCACTAGACTAAGAACCAATTTGAAGTGATTTCCACTCAGCTAAGAATCAATTTGGTTTGATTTCTACTAGGCTAGCAACCAATTTAACTCCGATTTTTACTAGTCCAAGAACCAATTAAAGGTGATTTCTACTAAACTAAGAATCAATTGGACTTGATTTCTGCTAGACCAAGAACGAATTGAAGGTGATTTCCACTTGGCTAATAACCAATTCCACTTGATTTCCACTTGACCAACAACGAATTGAACGTGTGATAATTTCCACTTGGCTAACAACCAATTTGACGTGATTTCCACTCGGCTAACAACCAATTGGACGTGAATTCTACTAAGCTAAGAACCAATGGGACTTGATTTCCACTAAACTAAGAACCAATTGGACGTAATGTCCAATATTGGCTAAGAACGAATTGGACTGGATTGCCACTAGCCGATAATGAATTTGACTGGATTTCGACTTGGGTAGTAACTAATTTCTATTTGATTTCCACGTAATAAATGTCAATTCTACTTGAATTTCACTGAACCAACAATTAGAATTAATCACTTGGACGTAATTTCCAGTGAACGAAGAAATCAATTGGACATCAATTTCAACTTGACGAAGAACCAATTGAATATACTTAATGTTTGCTCTACTTAGCAACAAATCTTTACTTCTAGCAGACAGTAGTCCATTCACAAAGACAGTCCATGTAGGAATAATCCATTCATTCAATAAGCCACTATCCCTCTTGACGGTATGGGATCATTCCAATTTGAGGAGAAATTCTTTCATCAATGGCAAGCCTTGAAAAGTGAATTAGGAAGTTTTTTTTTATCAAGATGAATGGGGGGCATCGACACCAAGGCATGGAGCCATTCAATGATGTCCGATAGAAAGGGGAAAATGGCAGCGGTATATCCTGATCGGCTAACTCACTCGATCACCACTAGCACCCAATCAATGCCTTCTTCTACGCTTGTAAAATAAATTGAAATACAATATTCAAAGAGGGAGAACTTATCTGATAGCAATCATCGACCGGCGTATCAAGGTTAATCGTTGATAAATTAATCAATCCACTATAGCTATCGGCAGTTGGTATGCAATGAGTCACGGCGAAAATTTGTTTTTGGGGCCTTGACAGGAATGGCAGCACTACAGGATAGTCTTCTCAATTTGATAGGATTTCTTGCATGGATGCTTTGGCTATTGGAAAGGCGATAAGTGATCAGAATAGCTTGTAGAAGATCAAGCAAGTTGTGCTCTATTTGTCAACGTCGAAGCATGTTTCATTAGTCTGTCGTTGATTTTGTTTGTCAGGTTGGCATGGAGGCATTTCCTCATTAACCCTGGCAATTCCTTCACTGCCTTTGAGGCAAAACCTGTTGAAAATCCTTACCAATCCCAATTGTGCTTGAACTCTCTTGCAATAGCACAATTAAGGCAATGAGATCTCAAGGGCTCGTATGGGCATGAGGAACTGCAGGTGTATTAAAATAAAGTAAGGATAGCCAAACAAAACGTCAATGGTCCAATCGAGGACTTTACTATTCTCTGATCAAGTCATTGAGAATGGAATTGGGTAAGTGAATTGCCCCTTTCCTATTCTGCCAACTAGATTGTTAATTCAGAATGGAAATTTTGCAAATCCATTCTCCATTTCCTATTCTATTGACTGGATTGTTGATGGAGAATGGAAATCTTGCCAACCCATTCTCCATTTCCTAGTCTATCAACTAGATTGTTGATTCAGAATGGAAATTTTTGCAAATTCATTCTCCATTTCCCATTCTATTAAGTGGATTGTTGACGGAGAATGGAAATCTTGCCAATCCATTCTCCATTTCTTATTCTATTGACTGGATTGTTTTATAGGGAATGGAAATTTTGCAAATTCATTCTCCAGTTTTCTATTCTATTAGTTGGATTATTGATGGAAAATGAAAATTTGACAACTCCATTTTCCATTTCTTATTCTATTGACTGAATGGTTGATGCTGAATGAAAATTGGGCAAATCCATTCTCCAGTTTCCTATTCTATTAGCTGGATTATTGATGGAAAATTGGGCAAATCCATTCTCCATTTCGTATTCTATTGACTGAATGGAAATTGGGCAAATTCATTCTCCATTTCCTATTCCATTGACTAGATTGATGATATTGAAATGCATCGACAAGATAGATACAACATGACTACCTACTCTAGTAGCATAAAGTCGTGGATTGACTGCTTATGGTGATGGATTATTATTCCCTGTTGAGAGTAGATTTGCTTGCTTGTGCGGGTTATTCAATGCTTATTTACAGCATAGAAATACAATCAACAACATGTGCCAAATATTCTTGATACATTTATTCCCATCATCATGCGAGTTATGGATTTAAAACGGAATTGGTGCTATAAGAGCGAGTGCCAAAAAATTGGCTTTATCCATTGGCTTCAAGGAATGAAAATTACAGACTTATCGGATTCAACCAATCTAACCGTCTATCCAAAATTTAGTCATTTTTTCATGTTAATGACTAATTTAGGTTCCCGACCGGGTATTTCAATCAAGCTAGAAAAAGATAGCCAATTGTCAACGGAGCATTGGATGTCTTGAAGGTTATGCATTTCCAATGGTGTTGTGCTAGGAGAGTTAGTGGCAAGAAATTGGCTACCCATTGGTTTCAAGGAAATAAAAATTCTAAATCCATTAGCATTGGCTAGTTGGAATGCATGCAAAATTCAGCCTCTGTTTCATGCTGATGGCTGATTTAGGTTATTCCAAGAAAATGGTAGATAATTCACCTGTAAATGTAGTCTTATTCAAAGCTGTAAAATGGTATCAAGTTGTCACAGTTCATTTTTGAAGATGGCATCGTTGGTCTCCACTCATAGGAAAAAAAAAATTGTCTCTGTCAACTCGTATCAAATCAATCAATTTCAGTCCATGTCTATTTTCAAAAGTAATACCACCGAGGTTAGCTTATTAAAAGCAATTAAAGGGAGGAAAGGACGAAAGAAATTAAGAAATGTCTATTTGAAAATAAATAAATTCGATCATTCAAACTCGGTTGACTCATGTCAATTCTGTAAAATATTGCATTCATGTCCGTTTTCACAGGCAATGCCACTCCAAGTTGGCTATTAAAAGGTAGGAAATGACTGAAGAATAAAAGTGTGTCTTTCATGAATTGGGTAGTTCTAATGGAACTCTCTATTCGGTTGACTAACGTAAAATGTATAAAATTCAACCCGTGTCTGTTTCATAGGCAATGCCACTCGATGTTGGCTATTTAAAGGTAGGAAATGATTGAAAAATAAAAGTGTGTCTTTCATGAATTGGGTAGTTCTAATGGAACTCCCTATTCTGCTGACTAAGGTAAAATGTACCAAATTCAACCCCTGCCTGTTTTATAGGCAATTTCTTTGGCTGAAGAAAAAAAGTATCTTTCATATTATTGTATTGGGTAGTTCCAACTCTGTTGACTAACGTAAAATGGACAAAATTCAACCTGTGTCTGTTCCATAAGCAATGCCACTCAATGTCG